CATGATCATCTCCTCGAGTGTCAACTTTTTCAAACAAATTTAAATGATTAATGATTAAATCTTTCGTACAATCTGCAACCTTAAATTTTTAATTATTATCTTATTATATTTTTAATATGCAGCACAAATAAAAATAAAAATAAAAATAGACATAATTATTGAAACTAAAAATTATGCAGTAAATCCTTAACACCAAAAGATATCAAAATCTGACCTTCCCCTACCCCAACCAAATTCACATCCTTTCTTAATCTTTTTTCTCTCTTTTTAGTCATCTAGTCTAGTTTGTTTGTCATCATCGCGTGGACCAAAATTAAGGATATGCCAGCAAAAAATGATGATTTTTTAAATAAAGTTGAACCCAAAACCAAAAATAAAAATAAAAAATAAATAAAAATTAATTGGGTGGTGCCTTCTGTACCACCAAAAAAGGGCACAGGCCGACAAGACTTTGTCTTGGCCTGACCCTAAATAAATAAATAAAAAAAAAAAATCTAATATATTATGCAATTCATTTTGAACACTTTCGGATTGCGTAAGGAAAAATAAGCAACTGAAAGGTGATTTCAGACAATTTCTAATAGAATTGGACTGCTCACGGCTCTTAAAAAATTGTATAAAAAGTCAATTCGTTTGAAATCAATTTTTTATTTTACTCACTTTTTTATTATTAATATCATTTTATTTACTTTAAAATGCATACCAAAATTTTTTTATTAAAAAAGGTGAATTTTCGGAAGGAAAAAAAACGGCAACACCACTACAGGAAGAATTGAGCTAAAACGTCCAAGATCAAAACAGCCCCATCTGCCATGGTGAAATCAAAAATAATTTTGTGTATCCACTTTCCAGAATGGGTATAATAGTTTTACAACTTGATTATGGCTTTTAAAAATTCCAGACGTGTGTGCAGACCCGAGGGTGCTTGTCAGCGTTTTCCTCCCTCTCGCTTTTTGTTATATATTCCACGAGTCAAAACAGACAGTCGGACTCGTCGGAGAGCGTGCCGGGGTTCGCAGTTCTTTGCAGCTGTTAAGTTTATGCATTATGGATTAGCAGCCGAGTGTGGGTGGTTTTTTTTTCCTCCGATAGATATCTGAGTGAATAAAGTTCGCGTGCGTTCGAAGAGTGAAAATGCAGATCGCGCCGAGGGTGGGTCTCTGCTCTCGGGCGCGTTTCCTGCTACCGGTGGCCGAGGTGCATTAGAATAATGACCATCCTTTCTGTCTGCCCATGCGAAATGAATGAATTTTTCTATAATTCCATAAAAGGAGCAGGAAATAACTTAATGCGCCGCTCTTGATTTATAACTCGACGAGCAGCCGAGCGCGCACATAAATGCAATGGAAAAGAATGTGTGTGTGTGTTTTTTCGCTCCGGTCGGCGATAGTCATCTTAATGGCCCATTCCGACTGTCAACCCTGATTTTTGTTTTATTAAACCGCGTGATTTATCGGCGTCGGTCGCGAATTGGACTTGGGTTGACCCGCTGTGTGCTGTTGACACACACACGCCGGTAATTGGATGAAATTTCTAAAATTATTTGTCGACGTCACCAGCCCCTGAAATAAATATCCACATTTCATTTTTATATAAATCTTTAAATAAGCTTGCACCAAAATTTTGCAACCTTCCCTACTAAAATCATTTTATATGTGTACATGTATAATTTCCGAAACCATATCAAAAATAGATGATTTTTTTTTTTTAAATCCAACGTTACTAAAAATTTCAATACTCAAAAATTATTCTCAATTCATAAAATACTTATATTATAAACGTAGAAATTGAAATTAATTTTTTTCTCTATTAAACAATTAATTATTTATTGTTTAAAATACTAACAACTTTTCCTTCATTATTTATTTTTTTTTCTGACAAAAGGCCTGGAATGCCTGAAACAATCTTTGGTTTGGGGGCAGAGGTATATTTTATTTGTTTTAAACACTGTAATTTCTGGAAAAAATCTTAGTGCTAGTAGTCTGAAAATTAAAGTTAATATAAAATTTATAATCAAGAAATTTTTCTTTTGACTACATTGTATGTGCATGATCGTGGTCGCATGGATAATATTTAAATTTGTTACTATTTTATTTTATAATTAAATAAAACTACAATAATAATAGTAAGTATTGTAAAAATTTGTTCTAATTGAAAATAAAAAAATTAAATAATTTAAAAATAAAAAATTAATAATAATATATTTTACAATAAAAATTAAATAAATGTATATTCTGTTTAAAACGTTAATTTTACTTTTATTTATTTAAATTGAATTATAAATTAACTAAAAAACCACACAAGCGGTTTCATTTTATTGTACGTTTTTGCGTGCAATAGCAAAGTCATCCTATTAATTGTTTGCAATGGCGCAAGATTGAGGTTTACACAATTTATTCTCACATAAAAGCCACAATAAAATGCTAAACTTATGTTCAAAAATTGGAATCTGGAATAAGTGGATTATGAAAATTGGAGCAGATAATTTGTTTTATGGTTCTCTTGAAAATTTTAAAAAACCCCGATCGGCCAATTTCCCCACATTGTTAACACCAGATCGCATATATAGCTTTATAATCTGATTATAAGGAAGAAAAAATTATAGATATTTACTATTATAAATTACAGTTCATATTTTACTTGTTCATTTCATATGGCTAGCAAAAAATAATAATCGCAATTATCAGGAAACTCTCTGTTAATGCAATATTTAGCGTTTGTTGAACCCGAGTGTCAGAGGTGATCGAGGGCGCGTCACGCCGTGTTTGCATCGGATGAGCAAAAAATATCTCGTGTGTTGCACCTCGGGCTGCTGATGTGACGAGCACAGAGATAGATGCCATTATGAGAGCGCATTTCGCCGGCGCGCTTTCCTTTCATGTGCTGCATGCACGACGAGCACACCCTTCCGCAAAGTCTTTTTAATATCCTGCCTCGTCGCCTTCTCGCGCAACAAAACGACAGAGATGCAGCCGATTTTAATAAAACGAGATCGCCCCTCACTTGAAACGCAAATTTGATTGGGGGAGGAGCGCAAAATGAAACAATCAAGAGTTGATTGATTCATTTTTCATTCAAATTTCGGTCTGCTAAAATAATTAATATATTTATTTTTATTAAATTCTTCCACTTTTACTTGTTAAATATTTTTAAATTCATTTAAGCATAATTTATGAGTTGCACATGATTTCAATGTAAAAATAAATTGTTAATTTAATATTTGTTCACCTCATGCAAATTTTTACCCACAAATCCTTCCCTTTTTTCCGCTCCTTTTCAACTCCCTTGAGATTCGGTCTCAACGTTTCTATGGAGTGAAATAGATTTGTTTGGATTTTGGTCGGAATCAGAAGCAGCTTATTGTATTTTCCCGAAAGCCAAACAAACGTGCCCTGACTCGATAGAAGAGCGGCCGGTCGGGGCCACGAGAGGAATTCAAATGAAATATAAATGCACACGTGATCCCCCATTGCCGGTCGCCCCGGCCGTCTTAAAAGAGAAAGAGATCGCAAACAAAACAGAAGCACGTGTGTTGCTCCTCGGTTTGCATAATTTATGGCGGGGCGCGCATTTCTGCTAATGCCGGACTAAATCCCGAGCAAATGGCACGCTGGAAACGCGATTCCCTGCCATAGTCTCACGTTCTGCCTCATAATTCTCGACAGCACTTTATTCCCGATCCACTTGTGCACACGTGCTTAAGGCCACCCCGACACTAAATATGAAATGTGCGTATTTAGAACAAGGAAGCTTGTCTGAAGTTGAAAATGTTAACCCAACATTCAAAAGGTCTATTGTAATAATGCAGAAGCGATGACATTATGGAGAATGAGCTGAAAAATTGGACCAAATTTAAATTTTATATTATAATAGAATGTATTTTCAAGATTGAATAAGAACAAGGGCTTATCTCAATTAAAATTTAAAAATGTTAAAACAAATGTCACAATTTTATTGCTCCCACCACTATTCAGAGCCTATTGTGTGACTCCTCAAGCATTTTTTTTACTATAATTATCAAAAAGTACCAGCTTTTTAATCGATTTCATTCCCTCTTTAAATGCCAACTTTTTTTTACAGATTTTAAAAACTTTCTGTATAACAAAATATTTTATCAATTTTTGTTTGATGCGTGAATATTTTAAAGGTCTTAATTTGTTTCTAACAAACGTTTTTTTTAAATAAAAATTAAAAAAATTTAATTGTCATCAAAGACAGCCAAGAGAATAGAACATTTTATTCTATTCTATAGAAAAATATATGATTTCATCACCTTAGGGAAATTTTGGAAGTGAGAAATATGAAAATTGAATTTCAGCCTCCCTTCGAATTTATTCCACGTCCCCTTTATGTAGCAACATAATTTTTCCTGTTCGCATCCCTTACATTTTTCCATACGCATAAACACACTAAAAAAAATATTGATTTATCGCGCTTCTTCTTCCTCTGCAATTCGTTTTACTGCCGCTGCTATTTTTCGGATGCACCGAAGGGAGTTTAAAAAAAGAACAATGCAATTACTTCCGATACCTCTTCAACACACACTGGGCTTGCTTCTCCACCTCCCGGGGGACGATTGGATTCAATAAAACGTCATCGGGGTGGCGCGCGCGGGAGCGAGAGAGCCTCGGATGAGCGGATGGGAATCAAAGGTTACAAAAAGCGATCGATCGGAGCAATCGAATTGCTCGCCACGTTGACACTTTTCTTTAAAACTCCTTTCAAAGGAAATGGTTTTTTTTATTGTTGCTTGGAAAATAGAAATCTATATCAAAGGCAGCAGGCACACAAAAGGTGATAAGGCGGATCTCGTGATCAGGAGAAATTAATCCTCGGTCTAATCTATTATTCCCAGCAACACATCCAGCCGATGATGATAAGCCACCGGAACGAAAACAAAGCATTAATATCAACCAAGGTTCTTTGTGGATATTTACCGGATTTTTTTTCAATGGTCGTCCTTACTTAATCAATGCCAATAGAAATGAAAATTATCAAGATTTATTAAGCTTGTGTAAATTTTTTATTTATTGAGCAAAAGGTTTACAAATACTCCGAACGAAGAACTTTGATTTGATCAAACCATATTGCAACACCATGCAAAAATCTTTATCTTAAAAAAAAAGCATAGAGAGCTCCTTAATCCTTGTTTCTGTTGCGGTACTGATTGACAAAGTAAGCGACCAAGGCGATGACGACAACAGCACCGAGAACGGCACCAACGACGATAGGAACTGTTTGGTCAACGGGTTCCGTCGGAGGGTCTTCCTGGGCACCAACCAGAGGCTGGGGCTGGGAAACTTCAGGAACGGGCTCCAAGAAATCAAACAAGGGCTTGAAGTATTCAAGAAGAGCGGTGCCGCTCAGCTGAGTCTCGCCTGTCAGCTGCTGAAGCGTCTCGGTCCAAAGAAGAGAGCCACCGAGCGCCAGTCCGTTTCTACACAGATTGAATAAAAAAATAAAATTCTTAATTTTAAAATTTGGTTCTGAAATTTAAAAACTGACAATAATTTTTAAAATCTATGTATATCAATCAAATGATTTTTAATTATTTAAAAAAAAATTCACTTTCAAATACCAAAAGCATATCCACTTATACCCAACGCACATTGTTTGTTAAAAGCAAATAGGTTGCTTTAAGAGTTAAATTATTTTTGCAAACACAAATCAATCTTCCCCTTTTTCGTCTCACCTGAGCCTGGTGCCGGCGGCAGTCGACCTGTAGATATCGCAGGTGTGCAGTGGCTTGACGTCCGGGTTAGCAGGGTCGTATTGTCCGGCCTCGATACACAGAGCGCGGTGCAGCTGGAACTGCAGGATGTGCGCAATGAAGTAGCTAAGGAAATTAATTTTCATGAAACATAAGAAAAACGGGTGGATTTTTGTCCTTATTACGAGATGTATTGAGAGTTTCCAGGAACGTGGAACTTTGCGCCAGGGTCAAAGTGTTGCTCAGTTCGCGGAACAGGGGCAGAAACCAGCTGCAGCTCTTCTCTACATCACAAAGTTTAAATATTAGAAACAACTTTTTCATTTTTTTTTTAAATAATTAAATGTAACAAAGCTGTAATTAGAATATTGAATAAAACCTTCTCATAGCTATATATCATAAAATTTAAAACCATGAACATTTATTAGAATAAATATATTAAAACAAAATCACCTGAGCTGCCACCAGCGCGTGTTCCAATTGGCTTCAGGTGTGGCTCCAGAGAAAACCTCCCAACGCCAGCTGTCAATGAGCACCGCAAATGGCAAGAAAGCAACCTTGGACAGGGCAAAGCGCAGCAGCGTGTTGATGGAATTTTCATACGAGTCTGTGTATTCGGGAAGCAGGCCGATGGTCGCGTAATGCTGAGGGTTTTTCACAGACAGGGCGATGACATCTCCAACCGCCTCATGGAATCCTTATTTAAAATTAATAATAAATTTACCTGTTGAACTATGAATTTTTTGGTAATGTTATAGTACGCGCGACGTGTTTTTTTATAAGTTGGCAGCACTTATGCTCCCATGTAAAAGTATCACGTTGCGCATTCAATAGTGGTTTTACGTCGCACATACAATACTGGTTTTTCGTCACGCGTACAATACTGGTGACGGTATAATTGTTAAGAAAACCGAATATTTCATCATATATTCCTCGGCAATATGTATAGCACGCGCGACGCAAATCTTTGCCTACAATCTTATTGTAGGGGACTGCTGGTAAGAATAGGGGCCCTCGGGATAGGTTCAGAATGGGGCAAGACGACCTCCAGTGAGACTCACTCACTCACTCACTCACTCACTCACTCACTCACTCACTCACTCACTCACTCACTCACTCACTCACTCACTCACTCACTCACTCACTCACTCACTCACTCACTCACTCACTCACTCACTCACTCACTCACTCACTCACTCACTCACTCACTCACTCACTCACTCACTCACTCACTCACTCACTCACTCACTCACTCACTCACTCACTCACTCACTCACTCACTCACTCACTCACTCACTCACTCACTCACTCACTCACTCACTCACTCACTCACTCACTCACTCACTCACTCACTCACTCACTCACTCACTCACTCACTCACTCACTCACTCACTCACTCACTCACTCACTCACTCACTCACTCACTCACTCACTCACTCACTCACTCACTCACTCACTCACTCACTCACTCACTCACTCACTCACTCACTCACTCACTCACTCACTCACTCACTCACTCACTCACTCACTCACTCACTCACTCACTCACTCACTCACTCACTCACTCACTCACTCACTCACTCACTCACTCACTCACTCACTCACTCACTCACTCACTCACTCACTCACTCACTCACTCACTCACTCACTCACTCACTCACTCACTCACTCACTCACTCACTCACTCACTCACTCACTCACTCACTCACTCACTCACTCACTCACTCACTCACTCACTCACTCACTCACTCACTCACTCACTCACTCACTCACTCACTCACTCACTCACTCACTCACTCACTCACTCACTCACTCACTCACTCACTCACTCACTCACTCACTCACTCACTCACTCACTCACTCACTCACTCACTCACTCACTCACTCACTCACTCACTCACTCACTCACTCACTCACTCACTCACTCACTCACTCACTCACTCACTCACTCACTCACTCACTCACTCACTCACTCACTCACTCACTCACTCACTCACTCACTCACTCACTCACTCACTCACTCACTCACTCACTCACTCACTCACTCACTCACTCACTCACTCACTCACTCACTCACTCACTCACTCACTCACTCACTCACTCACTCACTCACTCACTCACTCACTCACTCACTCACTCACTCACTCACTCACTCACTCACTCACTCACTCACTCACTCACTCACTCACTCACTCACTCACTCACTCACTCACTCACTCACTCACTCACTCACTCACTCACTCACTCACTCACTCACTCACTCACTCACTCACTCACTCACTCACTCACTCACTCACTCACTCACTCACTCACTCACTCACTCACTCACTCACTCACTCACTCACTCACTCACTCACTCACTCACTCACTCACTCACTCACTCACTCACTCACTCACTCACTCACTCACTCACTCACTCACTCACTCACTCACTCACTCACTCACTCACTCACTCACTCACTCACTCACTCACTCACTCACTCACTCACTCACTCACTCACTCACTCACTCACTCACTCACTCACTCACTCACTCACTCACTCACTCACTCACTCACTCACTCACTCACTCACTCACTCACTCACTCACTCACTCACTCACTCACTCACTCACTCACTCACTCACTCACTCACTCACTCACTCACTCACTCACTCACTCACTCACTCACTCACTCACTCACTCACTCACTCACTCACTCACTCACTCACTCACTCACTCACTCACTCACTCACTCACTCACTCACTCACTCACTCACTCACTCACTCACTCACTCACTCACTCACTCACTCACTCACTCACTCACTCACTCACTCACTCACTCACTCACTCACTCACTCACTCACTCACTCACTCACTCACTCACTCACTCACTCACTCACTCACTCACTCACTCACTCACTCACTCACTCACTCACTCACTCACTCACTCACTCACTCACTCACTCACTCACTCACTCACTCACTCACTCACTCACTCACTCACTCACTCACTCACTCACTCACTCACTCACTCACTCACTCACTCACTCACTCACTCACTCACTCACTCACTCACTCACTCACTCACTCACTCACTCACTCACTCACTCACTCACTCACTCACTCACTCACTCACTCACTCACTCACTCACTCACTCACTCACTCACTCACTCACTCACTCACTCACTCACTCACTCACTCACTCACTCACTCACTCACTCACTCACTCACTCACTCACTCACTCACTCACTCACTCACTCACTCACTCACTCACTCACTCACTCACTCACTCACTCACTCACTCACTCACTCACTCACTCACTCACTCACTCACTCACTCACTCACTCACTCACTCACTCACTCACTCACTCACTCACTCACTCACTCACTCACTCACTCACTCACTCACTCACTCACTCACTCACTCACTCACTCACTCACTCACTCACTCACTCACTCACTCACTCACTCACTCACTCACTCACTCACTCACTCACTCACTCACTCACTCACTCACTCACTCACTCACTCACTCACTCACTCACTCACTCACTCACTCACTCACTCACTCACTCACTCACTCACTCACTCACTCACTCACTCACTCACTCACTCACTCACTCACTCACTCACTCACTCACTCACTCACTCACTCACTCACTCACTCACTCACTCACATGGGAGCTTAAGTGGTCTGCCAACTAATGAATAAACTCGTCGCGCGTACTATAACATTACCAATTTTTTTAAATACGCACCAGGATTGGCACCCTTGCGGAAGGTGATAGGCTGGTCTTTGTAGAGAATGAAGTACTCGATGTGGCCAAGCTCATGATGGACGGTGATAAAATCTTCTTCATCCACATTGGTGCACATCTTTATTCTAAATATTTATTTTATTAAAAAATATTAATTTTGATTTAAAAATATCCTACCTGAAGTCTTGTCCATCGCAGAAGTCCCAGGCAGAAGCGTGGCAGACAATATCGCGGTCATCGGGCTGTTCAATGATGGCCAGGTCACCATATGACATTTCCATCGGTTCCAAACCTAGAGAGGTGTAAAACTCGTTGGCCACCGCAAACATTCGGGGCACATCATAACCCTGAATATGAATTTATTATTTCTGAGAACAAAAATCAATAATTCACGCACCTGATCAATCATGGCCTGGGTAATATCAATTTTGGTCGCGTTCGGGAAAGGTTCAAGAATGTCGTAAATGTTGTCCCAAGACTGAGCCCACATGTTTCCTGGGAACAATTATTAAAATAAAATAATTTTTTCGATTAATCGCAAGCGTTAAAATTACCAAGAATGTGCGCCGGAATGAAAGGTCCGTCGGGGATCTGCGCGCCGTAGACCTCCCTGAGCTTGGCCAGGGCGTAGGTATGCAACCTGTCGTACAGGGGCTTGACCTCGAGCCACAGGCGCTGTATGTCGGCCTGGAAGTTGGGCGTCTCAAAGTCGGCACGCCACATCTCACCCATGTCAGCGTAACCTGATGGAAAAATTCTAGCTTGACCTTTATTTATAAGAAAAATTATTAAATTAACCATTAGCCTGGGCAGCCTGGTTGCTCAAGGTGACGTAGTTTTGATAGTTGGTGCGCATTTTGGCGCCGGACGCGTCACGCCACTGCGACCACACGTACTTGAGCTCCTCATAGTCTCGCGATCCCGAAATGACAGTCTCCATATCTACATGACGAGATTTAAATTTTCTTTTATATTTATAAAAGAAGTTTATTTTAAATTCAAACCCGGTTCAAGACGGATGCCTTCTGTGGCGATGTCGCAGTTTTGGTTTGTGTATGGACAGATACGAGCCGCGCCGTAAATGCCAGTCATTGTGGTAATCTCTTTGTTGTACTAAAACATACGATTTTTTTTCATTTAAATCATTATTTTAATTTTAGTTTTATTTTAATATTTTACTAAACTTTGCGTGAATATTCAAAAGTCCTTATCTTATAACCCGAGATTAAATAAATAAGTGTCCCTGGGTAATACCCTCGAGCTTTTTGTTATCAGCAAACAAAAGACATACCGACAGTTGTAGAAGTTGTAAAATTGATAAGAGTGTACATTTTTCGAGAGAGATAAAATGCTACAAAATTAAATGTCAGATTAAATCAAATTTTTACCTGCTCAAGTGCTACAGGGTCAAGAGCGGCGGTGCCCAGGACGGAGAGGAACATGGCCTGACGTTTGACATCCGCTTGCTCGTAAGTTTCCCAATTGGCGTCGCGGAAGTACGTTTCCCACTGCTGCTGGGAGAACGCGGCGAACCTCAGGGTCTCGTTTAGCTGAAGAAAAAAAATTAATTTTCAAGACTTAATTAAAATATTAGTTTCTCCTATTTGGATTTTTAGTTAGATTTCATTAATTAATTAATTTTTCTAAAATAAAAATTAAAAAACGAACCAGGGCTTCTTCAGCGGCCGGATTGTTGATGTCCGTCGAGTAGCCCCAGTCGGCAAGAACGAATTGGTTGCACAAGGAGGTGGCCTCGGTCTCGTAGGGTCCAGTGAGATGCTCGGTGAGGGCCTGTTCCTCAGGTCCGGGGACCCTGAGGTCTCTGGTCAGCGACTTGGGTGCCCGGCCCAGGGGCTTGATCTTCATCACCCTCGGCACGGCGGCCTCGGTGGCCAGCACGAGGGCCAGCAGGAGCAGCGCGCGAGCGGCCATTTGTGCTCGGGTGGCTGAGTGGAATGACGACCTGGGCAAATTGAATACGAATCAAAATATAAGATTAGATTAGATAACGTGAGAGAGAGAGAGATGAGGATAGCCTTGCGCTCTCCTCTTGGGATTGCTCTGTTCACTAATTAGCTTTTTCTACCTGCGCTTTTAGATTAAGTTTTATGGCATGACTGATAGGCGCTCATTTCACGTATACGGAAAAACGCCGTTTATAATGTTTGCTTGTCTATTTATGGACTTGTTGAAAAAACATTTGGAAAGGTGGGATTTAATTTTAAAATTTACAACTGTTATAAAAACTTTAAAACACAAAGACTTTTTAATTTTCTAAGGTAGTGCTTTTAAATAATAGATATAAAATTTTAAAATAAATTATTTGTAATGAGACAATCAGGAAAATAATAATGCTTTTTAACACTCCAGCTCAATTCCCATTCCCCAATCTCAAACTGGGCCATAGTAGGTACTTATTGCTAGTTTTTAAATTTAATCACAATTTCATTTAATTTTTTAATCAATTTGATGCTTGTTTTATTGTTTTAATATTGAAGACACTCTAAAATTTGTATTATAATTTTTAGTCGCATTTTAATGATTAATTTACCTCATCTTAAAGGCGGGTGGAAAGCTGGCTTTGCTTTTAACGTAATATGGCCCATCAGGCGAAATTCAGAAGCTTCGCGCTGCTTTTAATTATCCATCAGCGCAGCGAGAAAGGCGTCAAAATGATGATGGAAAAGGCCCTCTTTGCCCATACGTGCTGCTTTTGCCCGTGCAAACTGCCTGACGAGGCGGAATTTATATACGTGCGCGATATTATACGAGAGAGAGAGAGCATTTCTAAAAATTTGCATATCATTTGGACGACGAGGCGTGGTAGTTTGTTTTTTTACGACGAGAAACGCGCCGCGCGCGTTTTATGCGCCGCCGAGCTAGAGCGTCACAGATTTGACGGCGGCGCCCCATCAGCATCGCAGCTTCCATCAAACAATTTTATCGCCTGCTCATATTTCGCGCGCGCAGGTGGAAAAGCAACAGCCCTTTGCATTATCCGCCCGAAACTCTTGTTTACCCACATCGCTCACGCCGCCACCGAATTTTCGCTGAAAGATTGAATTTTAAATTTGACGCCGGCGCTCCGCCAAGATTGATCACGCAGAAAAACGCTTCACCGCAAAAAACAGCACCTTCTTTGATTTTGCACTTTCTGCTCAGCGAAATGGAAAATGAGATGCTTTGTTGCAGAACAGAACTAAAATATTTTTAAAAATTGTTGACTTTAAAATGTTTATTAAAAAAAATTACACTTGTTTTAACACATTATTTAAATATTTAAAGAAGAAATAAAGAATCAAATTTATATTTAATTATTATTTACTATATTATAATATTATTTTTTTAAATGTATTTTATTAAGCGCATTTTTAAAATTTTCGCGCAATTAGATTTGTTAATTACAAAGTTTCAAGTGGTTAAAATATTACATATAAACAAAAAGTCCCTAACGTAGTAAAGAATTATTAATAACAATTTCTGTGGGTTTTCATCCATCTGGAACAATAATCCAGCGAATTAATTAATATAATAATTTCATGATAATAATATTAATAAAATAAATTATTTTGAAATGTCAACAATCAAATCTTGGAATATTTACATCATTCAAGACTTATTAAAATTTTATGGCCTAGCGGAATCAATTATTTTATCTTTTCAACCAATTGCCACGTGAGCGTTTCCACTCCGCCCAAATTAATAATCGTTCCCATCCATCACTTGTCCCACAGACAGACAAAGGGTACCGAAAAGTGGAAGTGCTACTGCGGTTGACATTTGAAAAATCAGCCAGTCGTGATATCATCATTCAATTAAGAAAAGCACTCTCACTGCAGAGGACAATGCTTTATTAGTAATTAAATGCCTCAATTTCTTAAATCAGTAATTTAATTAATTACTTTAATTTTGCAAAATATTTCATGTAATCATTATCAAAATAATTCAGCGTTAAATGTTTTGCTGTACATTTTTATTAATTTTTATTAAAACATAAATTTTTTACTTATTCGCGATTCTTTGCTCAACGAATAATTTTACAAATAATATTAATAATACATACATAAAATTTAAGAAGTGAATTTCTAAATAAAAGATCTCTCTGCTCCTATGTGAGGATCCCTAAATTTATTTAGATTGCTAAATTGCGATTAAAAAGATTTATAAAAATTGTGCACAAAAAATATAATTTATTTGTCTGCAAACAAAAATTAAATGATATTTCAACTCTGTATTTAATGTGCGCAATCTAATCAGTTTTAATATGTCATTCACTTCCAATCTTTCAATCAATCTATCAACACTTGATTGATATCGCTGCAGGTGCATAAATTTTACAGCCAATTTTGCCAAACAAAGCGAATTAACTTTAAGCGCTAAAATTGACTGCGCTGCTCTCGGTGCACTAAAATTTTATCAAAATTCAATTATCTTGCGAGCGCAGCCAAGGTTTAATTTATAGCTTCGTGTTCAAAGTCGAAAGCAACTCGAGCGCACCTCTGGTCTGGAGCACGTGACTGCTGAGGGCAGAGATTTATGCGCGCCGGCCGCACCCGCTTGAATTATACATTATTACAGTAGAATGCAACACCGGCGTATTTATGCTCATTGTCCGCTGCTGAGTGGGAGCCGAGTAATTACACACACTGCCTCGGTGAAACTCTAATTTATATTTGCAACGCGACGCGCGCGCGAGCAGAGCTGCATGTGCGCGGCTAATGGGATACGTGCGATCATCATTTCGGTTATGACGTCGCGAATTATTAACACGGCAAAACTCGCGCGCCGGCGAAATTAATTCTGAACTATGGTGATCCAACGTAAAACACAGTTATTGTCGGTTTTAAAAGCGTGCTGCTGTGATTTAAAATTAGGTTAAGCTCGGCGAAATTGTTTATTTCTATTTGCTTCAAAGTGATTTGGACTCAAAATATTTAACATATTTTTAGACTTTAAAATTTTTGTCTAATTATTGCATATGTTGCACGCGGGCAACAAAATAATAATTTTTTCTTTATTATTTATTCTTCTCGGTCATTCTTTTCTGTGAATAAATCAATGATGAATTCTAAATCACATACATTGAATTATGTTTTTGATGTTAAAAAGTTTTATTTTCATTGTTATTTATTCTCCACTAATCAAGGTATGACGTAATTTTACTAAAATTCAGGGCCTTCATTCATTTCTGGTTGGCAAGAATTTCGATCAATTCTATTACAAAAATTGTAAAAAGGCAATGCAATTGTTAACATTATAAATGATCAAATTATAAAAAACATTTGACCATATCAATTTATTTAAACACGCAATTAAATAAATAAATAATAAGCGGTAACAATGACATTGTGGGTTGTTTCAAGTGCAAAGGAAATGGTGCTGAAATGAAGTAAAAACAACCACAGGGATTTTGTTTTAGAAATTCACGATCGAGGGTTGATTCGTGGTGATTTGAATTTAAAATCGGCTTTTCCTCGATGGGTTGTTGTGAGTTGTTTATTGTTTCAGAAAAACAATAATATATCCTGCTTTACATGTTTCGGCTGCGGGCTGCAGCCATAATTCATGAGCCGTGTAAACATTTTGAGAAAAAAATTAGAACAAAAATAATTATTTTTTCAAAAATTATTTTGCTCTCAAATTGACAATTTTCTGTGAAAAAAATTATTGTAATGATTAATGAACATTTTTTTTCTTCCAAATAACAATTTTTAACACAAAATTTGACATTTAATTCAAACAATAAACAACTCACAAAAACCCATCGAGGAAAAGTCGATTTTAAATTCAAACCACCATGAACCACAGGGATGTCGGACTTTGTAATGCAAGGGCACAGGACAACCTCATAGACCTCACTTCTTTTCCTCTCTCTGCCAGTTATGTGGTGTTTGTTGTAATTGTTGTCACTTAATTTGTGTAGTCAATTTCAAATTAATTAAAGTAATAAAGTGTTACTCAATCTTCTAGGGCAAGCAAAAGACTTCGGTTTTATTCACAGAACTAATCTATTAATAAAAAGAATTTAATTAGTTGAGAGTCAAAAGAAAAGTAAAAATTCCTACACAATTGACGATGATCTAGTTGTTGATATGTACAATTTATGTATCTCCTATAATATGAATGATTAAAATTGAGCTGTCAATTCTATAAATGTTTATTTAGGAAACAGGAATAAAAAGACTTCATAAAAATCATAATAATACATTAAATCAAATCAATATAATACAAGTAAATTTGATTAAAATATTAAATTTATAATAGAGATTTAAAATACTGTTCAGTTTAATTATTAATAAATAAATAAAATTATATATAATTTTTAAAAAATTTTATATCATTGCTATTGAGGTATAATTTTCTTTTCAAAATGTACATATCTTGCGACTTTCAAAATGTTCAAAAAGACTAAATCAATTCTTGCAATGTCGACTTGAAATGAAAATGGTTGAAAATTAAAAAATTACAGAAAATAATATATTTTGCAAAAAAATTAAATTTTATAATAATTTGAAACTAAAAAAACGATAAATTGTTTCACTTTCACTCTAAATGCAAACAAAATGAATTATTATTATTTTTGTTCGTCGCTTGACAAAATTGTTAAATCATCTTAAATGGTTTCATAAAATATATGTAAACAGATGGGAAAATTCTGCAAATTTTCTTTTCGAATGAAAAGTTTGAAGCTTTTGTACTTGATAGTGGTATTCGGTGGCCTAGGCAGCCTCTCGCTCTCTCAACTTACTTAATTCCGAATGAAAATTCCGTTGGAAGCAGGAGGGCCTTATGTGCGTCGTTCGTTTCAAGTGACTCTCTCTCTCTCTCTCTCTCTCTCTCTCTCTCTCTCTCTCTCTCTCTCTCTCTCTCTCTCTCTCTCTCTCTCTCTCTCTCTCTCTCTCTCTCTCTCTCTCTCTCTCTCTCTCTCTCTCTCTCTCTCTCTCTCTCTCTCTCTCTCTCTCTCTCTCTCTCTCTCTACATTCTGCAATCTCCTCTCCAGTCAGTAAGTCAGTCAGTCGCAGAGAGGGTTTCAAATCAATTTCAAAGCGATCCGACAAATCCATTTAGCCGACGAGTCAAAGCAGTGCCGGATCTTTTCACGTGGAGAAATGAATAAAAGTTGTTGCTAGCAAAGTCGAGTGCATTCAGAGCGAGACGGTTGAAAATAATTAAACAGCGCTTAAAAGAGGCCTTCAAAGAACGAGAAAGAAAGAAATAAAGAAAAGGCCTGCTGACCAGTTGAAATGCACCGACCGACCACTCGAGAGCCTCGTAATCTCTTTCTGCCCTTTTTTCAGCGGCTCAATAATGAATGGCTATTTGCGCGCGCGGTCAATTCAGCGTCGAGACGAACAGCCTCAGAAAAGAAGCAGAAAGTTTTTTTTTTCATGTATGCACCAAAAGGATTATTTTTTTTAGCTAGTTTCAATCAAATTTTATTCAATTGAGGTAACTTATTTAATAAAATTTAAAATAGTGTCTGATTATTTGGAAAAGAGATTTTAACATTTAAGTAATTTTCCTTTTAAAGAAATTATTAAAATTTGTGTTGAAGTTAAAAGAAAAAAAAGATTCATTTTTTAATAATTTCTTGCAAAAATTTGTATTTATGAAGAATGATTTAAAAAATATCCAAAAGCAAAAAAGGAAATCAAATTTATGTAAGCTACGCTTTTGTAGTAAAATTTAATCCTCAATTAGCAAAATGAAAACATTTTGATTTTTTTTTTAATTACTCATTATTTTTTCTGAATAATCTGAAATGGGCGATTATATTTGATAATTAAAGATCCACTCCGGTCGTTTATATTGCTCTTTATTCTGAAAATTACCGAGTATATCTTGTGAAAACACTATTTGAAAATTCCAAACCATTGCGTCCCAATAAAAAAAAAAAACGAGTGATTCGCGCGAAAAACGCGTGAGAATTGAGTAGCCAATCAGATCCATCAGTTTGTTCCAAAAACTACAGAATTTGGTCACATTGGCGCTGCAATCGCTGATTTTGCCACTAATGCCCCATGGCGATGCAGAAAACTTGAAAAAATCAGCGATCGCAGCGCCACAAGTGACAAAAACCTGCAGTTTTCGGAACAAACTGATGGATCTGATTGGCTACTCAATTCTCACACGTTTTTCGCGCGAATCACTCGTATTTAGGTTTTCTTTTGATTGAGACGCAACGGTTTGGAATTTTCAAATAGTGTTTTCACAAGATATACTCGAAATTTAGCAATCTTTCTGAATAGAGAGCAATACAAATGACCGGAGAGGATCTTTAAATTTAATAAAATTAACAAGATGAAAATAAAAATTGAATATTGCTTCAGAGAGACAAAATTTCATTGTTCAGAAACAATTTTAACAAACACACTTAACTTACTTTAAAGACTTTGTTCCTTTTTTTTAAACAAAAGCTAAATTTTCTGATGTCATTTTATTTTACATTTATTATGAAAAAAGTGGGCTAAAAAAAACATGATCCATACATATGCCAGGCACGACATCAATTTGCACTCTGAATTTTTCTAACAAGAACAGACCGAAGCTACGTACGTTGTTACAAAGTGCATGCAATTTTCACAGAGCGTGGCAATTTTTCGCTGCGAGTGGTGCCGGAAAATGGAAAATATCGCCGGCGAAGGGAGGTAGAATGCACTTTTGCTGGCTGCAATGTGCCGCCGCGTGCTGCTTTACGACTTTGATTTATATATTCAGCAAAAATTTTGATAAAGCGCGAGAGACGGCGCGCCCGAGATTTATGGCCAATAATGAAGGAGAAAGAGTGGCCGTAAAACGAAACACGGTCGGGCCTCGGATGAAGAAACAATCGGCCTGGTTGATTGGATTTTACCGAAGGTGCGCTCGGTCGCTTTAAAAGTAGCAAAATGGAAAAATTGGCTTGGAAAGGAGATGAAAACGTTATTTATCGAGAAGGGAGATGAAGGGTTAGTTCGACAAACACGGCACCAGGGCGCAGCAGAGAGCGGTGAGCGCGGCTGCTCTGTTGCTGTGAAAGCATCAAGTCGACTTGTAAACAAGATTATTGAATTTCAAAACGTGAAAACGTTTTTCAGGTGATAGTGTTAAAAAAGGATTAAAAAATTATTGCTTATTTCATACAATTCTATATAGAAAAGCTCCGCATTCATAGAAATCTATGCACATATTTGAATTTTGAAAATTAATTAATTTTTTGTTGCAAATAAAATTTATATAATTAAAAACTTAAAGATTTGTGTATAAATTGTTAGTTAAACTTAAATATTAAATTATTTTACTGTTTATTTATTATTGTATTTTAATTTTTTTTAATAATATTATTAATTTATAAATTTATTAATTATATAAATTTTTTAAACTACATGTTTCATGATTTTTTTATTTTCATTTAAAATACGATTATGGCAAGAAATCTAAAAAGTTAATAAATATAAAAATAATATTAACAAATGCTGTCAAAACTTCGTTGAAATTAAAATTTTGTTAATAAAGCAATTCTGTATAGCACTTAAGTCTATGAGATACATTTAGTACATTTCATTACAGGATACAAAAAATT